AACAAGAATGATGAAAGGTCTAGAGAACATCACCTAGGAGGGAAGATTGAAAAAATTGGGTTTGTTTAGTCTGGAGAAGAGAAGACTGAGCGGGGACATGAGAACAGTTTTCAAGTACATAAAAGATTGTTACAAGGAGGAGGGAGAAAAATTGTTCTTCTTAACCTCTGAGGATAGGACAAGAAACAATGGGCTTAAACTGCAGCAAGGGAGGTTTAGGATGGACATTAGGAAAATTCCTAACTGTCAGGGTGGTTAACACTGGAATAAATTGCTTAGGGAGGTTGTGGAATCTCCATCATTGGAGATTTTTAAGAGACGGTTGGACAAACACCTGTCAGGGATGGTCTAGATAATTAGTCCTGCCACAAGTGCAGGGGACTGGACTAGATGAACCTCTCGAGGTCCCTTCCAGTTCTATGATTCTATGAATTACAAACCAGGGCGCAGGGCCCGTCGCTGCCGAGTGACCCTCCAATAACCAACCAGCTGCAGGGCCCAACACCCTGCTGTATTTCCCATTCCAAGTGCAGGCTGCCGTAAGGAGCTCAGCTCACTTCTCTGGCGTGGCACCAGATCGCCCCGTGCTTGTCTCCCTGTGCAGGTATGAACGACTTCAGCTACCTGCACACAAACTGCTTTGAGGTCACTGTAGAGCTGTCCTGCGACAAGTTCCCGCACGAGTCCGAGCTGCCCAGGGAGTGGGAGAACAACAAGGAGTCCCTGCTGGTCTTCATGGAGCAGGTGCATGTCCTGGCCTAAGGGGGGCACTCCAGGGCCAGGGCAGTCCCGAAACCTTGCCTGGCTCCTGGACGTGGGTATCTAGGGCAGCGCCTCCTGGAGCTTCTCCGTGGAGGTCACGTGGCCCTGTGGGAGCTGGGCAAGGCCCCCGGAGCGGCTGCTCCGGCCAAGGCAGGTTCTGGCTGGGTGTTGGTGCTAGCAGTGAACCCGTCACGGCGCCAAGGCTGGAGAGACACGGGGCAGCACTTACCCACTTGGGAGGGAGGGAGACCCAGTGGGTAGAGTATGGAACTGGGTGTCACTCAGGACAAAACCCAATCCCCTAGCCCTTGAGCTAAAGGGGAATCACCATTAGCTGATAGCAGTGTAGGGGCAATGACACACAGAGTAATTCTGAATCCAGCCAGCAAAGGGCAATATGCACATGCATGCACAAGCACACAGTGCCCGGGGCTTGATAACAGGTTTTTAAAGGCTAGTCAGAAGATCATGGAAGATCGAGATGAGAGAGACGTTAGATATTAGCTCCCACAGTCCCCAGACGCAGGGCACAGCAGATGTTAATGCCATCACACGGCTGTACACGGGGGTGCCGTCCCTTCCAGAGGCAGGGCAGCCCCAGACGCACGGCGCTTCGGTTTGTAGCTGAAATGTCCTCTGGACAGAGCCACAAAACCAGCCTCTCAGGCCCTGCCACCAGCAGCTCTGAGTTCCTCCAGCAGACGTGATCGGAGTAACAAGGAACGGCATAAAGCAGCCTGTTGGTTCCAGCTGAGACGGGCAAGCCCCTCCCGACCATGCCAAGCAGCCTTGGCAGTGCCTTCAGGAGAGCATGAAAAGACAGGCAGAGCACCCGGCCATGCCAACCACTGTGTGGCAGGGGCTGCTGGGGGGACACAGCTAAGAAGGGAAGAACGGGGTTGGTTAAAAGACAAGACGGGGAGTCAAGAAACCCGGGCTGTATTCCCTGCCATGCTGCAGCCTTGGGGTCTGCTCCCCTGCCCCCCTGCACCAGGTACAGCGCCCCCACCTGGCCTCGCAGGGAGAACAGACATCGGTTGTGCCTCCTGTTTTATTTATAACACACAAAATCCCAGATTCTGCAAATGGTCATTGATCTACAGAGCCATTTGTCCCCGTCGCATCACCCCGCCTGCAGGGTGCCAGCGAACAGCTCCTCTCTGCAGCCCAGAGTCCTGCTTTCAGGAGAGAAATTCCGTCTGTAGCCACTACAGTGGTGCCAAAAGGCCTTATCCGTTTGCCACCTGTCAATTACATGGAGGCCAGGGGCCCCCCAAACAATAAATAGTGAATTCTGGGGGGCCGGCGGGGGCAGCGACGCCTTCCTGAGGGATGTTCGCCCTTGTCGACACTGGGACTTTCACCCCCCGCCCATGCAGCAGCCTGCGTGCACTGCCTAGCGTAGACACTACTCGTGCAGTGCAATGCGATTTGCACCTGTGCAGTTTAGCCTCGTTTCAAACTACACCAGTGCTCAAACCCCAGGGTAGACGAGGCCTGACACCGTCCCGCGTCCCCAGGGACGGGCACTTGCCGAGATTCACTGAGCACACGTTGGACATACACACGGCCCGTACACCAGCAGCTGCTGGGTGCTGCAGAGGTCACTGTGGGGCAATGATCCGCCGGGGGGAATAGCGGGTAATTGGGGTCAGCTCTCCATGCCAGCTCGGTCCCTTGAGTGGCGTGTGCCAGGCAGGCAGGGGGCCCAGCCTCAGCTCTTCTCTCACCCGTGTGGGCAGCCCACACGTTTCACACCCTTCTCCAACAGGCTTGGCCGGGCCGTGTAAGGTGGTGGTTTGTTAATCTCTGGGCTCTCACAGCTGGTACCCCTGGGGCTCAGTGCTGGGCACCTCAGAGAATGGCAAAGGGTAGGGAGTCCCAGGCAGCGAGGCTGGCCAGCGGCTGAAGGCACTGCTCTCTGGGGAGAGGCTGAAAATTCCCCCTGTCTAGCTGGGCTCCGCGCACACAGACAGGAGAGCCGCTGGGTGATGACTGAAACAGCCGCCGTAGCTGGTACAAGAGGCTGTGCGGAGCTGTGGGGTGAGCTCAGGACGCCTGGGTTCTAACCCTATCTCTGCCACTGGCTCACCGTATGGCCTCAGGCGAACCGCGCCTCCTCCGGAACCAGGGTGGTGACGCTGAGCCCTCTCCACGGGGATAGTCCGTGAGCGCGGCGCGGTGTGACTGGCCGAGGGTGAACGCCCTGGGAGGAGGGGAGGTGTTGGGGCCTGCTGGGGCAATGAGCAGCGATGGAGCAAAGGGAGATCCAGGATCCCCTCCGGGGCGTTTGGCTGCAGGACAAGCAGCCACCCCAGCCATGGGGCACAACCCCCAGCGCTCCGGATGGTTAACCCAGGGCTGGACAAACTGCAGGGAGCCGCCCAGCAGGCGGTGCGTGGACGGTGGTGCCCCATAACCCTGGGCTGGGGGCCGGCTCGCTCTCCCCGCTGTACGCAGGGAGGGGTGGTACCTTGTGGA